ATTATTGAATTTGTTTCACTGAAGGGAGATTTAGGTGCCGTGTGTTATTTGCTTTATTAGATACAGGCTGTAAATAAGTTACAGAGGGAGGTAAGTGGTGAGGTCTCACAGATAAGAACTAAATCACCAGCTTGCAGCTTGCAAACCTCCAGCCCGTACAACAGAGCACGAATAAACTCTGAGATTGTACAATTCTTTCGACGGTGTCTGGAGTTGGCAAGGAAAATGTTAACCTTGAAATGAGAAGGACTTGATTTGAGAGGCCTATATTACACCTTAGCCCAAATTCGCCCGGCACAACCTTGCCACGAGAGAACTTTATAAATCAGGCAGACTAAATTTAGCTCCAAAGGGGAAAAAAAAAAAAAAAGGGTTTGTGTAAGGCCACGCAAGTACAGCTCTAGAATCCAAATGAGAGGCTTCCAGCAAGACTACTCTAAGAAAATGCTGCATTACAGCCAAACCTTGCATCATTACTCTTCACACATTCGCACATCATCTGAAAACATCTGCTCTCTCCACACGTCTTCTACTCTCCATTTAATCTTTAACTTACCGTTTGCTGATATGGTGACATTGTACTGGACGGTTATGAATAACACTGCAAACTTTGAGGTGACCTGTGGATGTGAAAAAAACAAAACAAAACAAAAAAACAGATATTGGCAATGAGAGCTTGCACACATGCACATATGTGACAGTCATTTAAACAAGGATCAGACTTACGTGCCGAGCGCAGTTACTTAGTATTGCATTTATATATCAAGGACTCACTGCAAGACCCATTCTGGAGTGACTGTATCTGTGACTTGACGTAACACGTTGGTTTTAAACTTTGAAACCAATTCATATAAAGTGACAGAATGTTTTATTTTAGCAGCATTTCATTGCAATTTTATGCTGGTAATAAACAAAGACACCCACAAACTAAGAGACCATATGGAAAATATCTAATATTATTGTAACAATAGAAAAAAGGTGATAAAACTTGTTAAAGGAGTTTTGAGAATAGAATAAATAGAAAATTGAACAGAATAGATACAGGAATACAGTACCTGTATTTTCTTAAGAAACTTTCTATGTGGATTAAAAACAATAATAATTATTAGTATTATATGGAGGTAATGGGATTGATTGTGTGATTGGTTATTAAATATGATCCAACCAAGTAAATGTATTTGAGAACTGAGCTGCATAAAGACAGCAAAATGAGAAGTTTAAAAAAAAAAGAGGGGACGCTGCACAGTCCTTCACAACAAAAGAGCTACGTGTGCAAAGGCTTGACACAAAGCACACACAACTGTCCACTAAATACACACAACTGTCTGTGGCAGCATTTCAAATGGCAGTGAGTAAACGGCAGCCCGAAATGCTGCCATCGTGGACTTCACATACGTTGCAACAGCTGTTAGGGGGGGGAAAAAAAACGGGAATTTTACTTTGGAAAACAAAAACAGGAAGTGGTTTTATTTAAGGAAGACTTGACGCTAATGGCGCTGCTTTTCAGTGAGGATGAAACATGCTTAAATTGAAACACAAATACGAGAGAAAGTAGACCAGCGCGGAGACGAGCAGGGGGTATGAAAAGGTCGCGGTTGTCAGGCCGCAGGTTCGAGTCGTATTTTAGACGCTGTGCAGCTCCAAGGATAACTTTCAGTTTTGGTGCAAGCGGGTTTCTGTGATGACAGCCCTCTCAGTCGTTGTATGATTGCCACGTAACACATCTACGCATAAACTAACCAAGTCCAGACTGTTGCACAATATGCTAACAAGATCGATACAATACTGCAAAACCGCAACACATGAGATACTCCGACTAATATTGTTGCACATAACTAACTTTGCTTCTTATGATAAAACCGCGGGCCTGTGTTTGAAATATCGATTTCAACATGGGAAGCAGCCAGATGGAAAGTCGACACTATAGTTCCCCACATCGCTTTGATTTGAGAAAAAAAAAAAAAAAAAAAAACTTATTGAAAATGCCGGGCTACACGAACGAGTTGATGATCTCGTGAGGGTGACTAAATCAAAAGCAATAGAGGCCATCGTTCACTTAAAACTTTCGATTACAGGAGGAAGTAGTGTGAAGAATAGATCAGACAGCCATGTCAGTTTCCAGGAGAACAGATGGGGAGTATTCGGCGTCCTGCCTACCACAGGTCCGTCCACTGTGCCAGCCGAGCAACCCCCCCTCCCCTTCCCTCCCCTCCCAGCCCCCCGAACAATCGACAATTAAAACCCATTCAACATGTGGACGGGACTTACCTCAAACATCAACCCGAGGAGGAACACCATAGCAACACAGGAAACAATATCTGCATGGTTCTGGATGACAAACTCATGGCTCAGCACCGGCGGATTCTTGTTAGTCTTTTTTCGGATCCCCATGTCGACACGATTCGACTCAACTTTTGCGTTACGCAGCGCAGATGTAGTCGCTTTCTATCAATCTATATTATTATCCTTGTGTAGGAGAACGCTCAAAGCTCCCTCCTGCTTCCGACAAGCACAGGGCCAGGCAGCAATTGAATGGCGTGTCACTCTTCTGTAGTGGGAGGGTCCACGGAGACGGAGCCGCTGCGCCTGACCAACGAGAATCTTTACGCACAGGAGAGACGCAGCTTGGGCTCTCTATCGCTGCCTAGAGGTTTGGAGTGTCTCAAATACCTCCCACTCTTCGTCTTCAGGCCCAATGGAGATTTTGGAGTTACTGATTTCAGAAGGAGAGGGAAGGTTTTCCACATGTATTACAAATAATAGTCGTCTTGACTGAACAAAGCCGCTTTACCAGCTGCACCCAGTTGGCAACTAGTTTGAGGTAGTAACAAATGCCCTGTGAAATTTCCTGTACTATCACACAGTGTCAAAATCAAATTTTCATACCTTTATTTTTTTCCAGTTGATATTATATAATGCAAGTAAATTGTAGTTTAACCCTCTGTGGTCTTCAAGATGTTTCTATTAACATCTTTGCGATAACACAGCATAGAAATGTGGTTTAAATGTTGTTAGAATTTGTACAATTTTGGCAAGATCATATGTGACTCACAGCCGGAGGCCAATAAGCAGAAGGCCATTAAGCAAGCCTCTAACATTTGGTTCATTTTAGGCATTTATTCTACATTTATCTCCTATTTTTACTCATATATGGTGCTATTTTTAGGAACCTAAGACTTTGACAAACCCACTTCAAGCACCAAAACAATTCATCCACATCAGTAAAAGTTTTTTTTGAAAAAAGAGATTTGAAGGATTTCAAAAAACAGGCTTCAATTTTTCAGCACTCGGGGCAAATGATCTGTTTACACAGTGCTCCTGGACAAAAGGGAGGTCATTATAGAAAGAGCTAAGATTGCTCTGAAAATTGTGATATTAAACACTTGGGTATTGTGTTATTTTATGCAAAAAGATGAATTTAAGAAAACATTTAAAAGGAGAAAATACCCTTTGACCTCAGAGGGTTAAAGGAATAGTGACAGTTTTTTCTTATTGATCTCATTACTTTCAGCTGCATTTAGAGTTGCATTAAGAGCTGCCTTGACTTATTTGAATATGACACATTAAGAAATTCAGCTTAATCAAATTTAAAAGTGAGACTGTAACTTCTGCTGAACTACAGTCATATGATAAGTAACAGTTACAGGGTCATGGTAGGTAAATGGTGGTCATAAAGTCATAAAGTCACTATACAAACTGATGGATGTCAGTTACAGCAACATCTGACTAAAGTTTGGTAACATCAGCTGACATTAGATACCGTAAGCTACAGCTCATAGCTACCAGACAGCATAAGCCTGTAGCAGTCAAACCTCTGAGAGCAATGGCGATTTTTATTGCTTATTAGTAAAACATACATTGAATTTTTCAAGTTTACAGTGTTTATCTTTTGAAAATAATGAAGCGCATTTCATAGTTCCTGATCTCACACTTAAGTGGAAGTACTTCAATTACAGGAAAACCCCTGCGCAGAGGTGACACGTCAACCCTCCCACCCCCTTGTGTTCACAGCAAGAAAAAAAGATACACTTGTCTCCATGTGTCTTTTGTGGGAAAAAAAAAAAAAAAAGTCTCGGGATACCCAGGCATTACATCACTGGCGGGTTGATGTTTAAGCCATCCAAAAAAAGAAAAAGAATGTGACAGGAAACTTGTGACAAATATGTACACACACACACACACACACACCTACATTCATATAGACACAAGATCAATTATGTAATGACATTTTTTTCCGGCCCGACTGTTAGCTCAGTCACTGAGGTGGAGCCTGTCACGGGGTTCAAAGAAACAGAAAGAGAACGGCAGACGTGTTTGCTTCTCTCACTGAACACAGCTGTCTGCCATGGGAGAAAAAAAAAACACACTGGTAAGTTCATTTATAGTTTTTCTTTCTTTTGTGTGTGTATTTCACTGTAATTGTGATCTTTGTAGGATGACATGCTGATTCTGTGTGAAGTTCAACTTCAAAGTGTGATTTGCATATTTAGAATAATGTATAAAGAAACTATGAAAATACAATAAATGAACACAACTGTGACTTATTTCATAAAAGTGAAGAGAATATGAACGTAATTTAGATAGTGTGATATCTTGATCTCAAATTTGCCATTAATTTGCCATTAATTAATCGTCTTCTTCACAAGTGGCATCTCATTAACAGTTTAAAATGATATTGACGCTAGAGGAGCTAAAGAGACTTTACATGTAGTTATTCTGTGATTCAGTAAATTGATCTGAAAATGCAGTTCTGTGAGAAGTGTGAGGAAAAGTAAAGTATATCTTATCTAAGAGTTCTGAATGAGCAAAGCAAGATTTTGACCATTTTATTATCCCTGATAACATTGATTATTTTCTGTTGCGACTATTCCATTTATCAGGGATTTGTATAATGACGCGTTTATGACAGAGGTCAAAGGGCAGGAGAACATGACACAGCAGCTGACTGCAGTCACACTGCATTTTAAAACTTCAAGTGCCTCATGCAAAGATAGGCTGTACGTTGTGGTAAATCTGCGCAAGATTCTTTCTGCGTGATACTTTGTGGTTTGTGTCACATTGTATTGCTCTTACAGATCGACCAAAATGTCACCTGAACTGCTGGAGTCCAACACGCAACTGACCACAGCAGCTTTTCTTCAGAGGCTTCCAGACAAAACGGCCACATTTCTACCTTCATCACAGAGTGAAACCTCTGGTTGAACCTGTCAATTATCAACAAAAAATGCCTCCCTCAGACATTCAGTACTCCAAACTGCGATGGTTATTAACCATCGCTGGACTTGTTTTGTATGTGGCGGACATTTGGACAGACATTGGACTGGCTTTGAAATATTTCCAAGAGAAACAATATGTCTGGACTGGACTGACTCTAATGTTTGTTCTGGCTGGACTGCTGGTGACACAGATCTTCAGCTACGCCTGGTATCGGGACGACATGAATGACGTTTTGAGAAACCCGGAGGGAAGATCGAGCGTAGCCGGCATGTCAGAAGGTGGACTGGTCGCCCTGCACCTCTTTGGCGTGGGTATCTTCACCAGGTATGGAATTAACAACGATGACGCTGGTGACTGACCGTGATGAGAGGGCACTGATCTCTGCTATTATACCTCCATAATAACATGGGCTGCTCTTGTAGCCTGCAAAAAAAGAGGTGTGAGCATTTTGTGACTCAAAATGCAACATGCTAATCATCGTCAATGGCATGCTTCTATGGAATTGCCAAACTGGACTAACCACATTTAAACACGGTGTCAGGAAAAAAAAAAAAAAGTCTTGCAATTCCATTCGATCTGTGCGGCAGTAAAATGGTGAATGATTAACAAATACAATGTCTGGTGGCAATAACCTGTTTGATTTCACTTCCATTGTTTTGATCTGTTGCTAGGTATTATCACCTGCTGAGAAAAGGCTTTAAAGTTGTTTGGACAAAAACAAATTCCTATACGCTGGAACAGAGGAGGGATGTGCACCACAATCTCTTTTGCCTGGCAACTGATCTGAGCATGCTCAAACTGTTTGAGACTTTCCTGGAGAGTGTTCCCCAACTCCTCCTACAACTATACATAGTGCTGGGCCATGATGAGTCCTCAGTTTTGCAATGTAAGTAAATGCAGTAAGAGAGATACGTTCATTTCCTGGATATTCATGAATGTACAGTATTAAGTTTGCTTTCTATTTCTACCGTTTGTCGTTTTCTTTCAGATTTATCTATGGTGTTTTCCTTCTTTAATATTGCCTGGGCCCTGGTGGACTATCGTCGCTGCCTGCGCCGATCCCTCCCCCAGATCAGGGAGATGCCCTCTGGTCTCCCCACAGCGATATACCTGATGTACAAAATCTGCACCATCACCACCCACATCCTCAGCTATGGCCTCCTCCTAATACTGAGCATTTACAGCACAGTAGCCCTCACCTTCCTCTGGCTGTTGGGGACCACCTGGGCACACTTTCTTCAAACCAACTTCTGCTCATCCAAAGGCCTTGAGCTTCTCTACCGGGCAGTCATAGGAGTCATCCTCACGTTCACCTTTTTCAATGTCAAAGGACAGGACACAAAAGTAGCCATGATCTTCTATTACGTTTTCCACTCCTGTATAAACCTTATGGCTCCATTGTTGCTGGCTTTGTTGAGGCCAGAGCTGCAGACCAGCACTTTTTTACCGACAGTCAGCTGTGTAATCTTTGGAGGTTCACTGCTGGGGCTGGTCAGTCTCGTGGTGTACTACGTCCTCCTGCACCCCAAGGGGAAGTGGCGTGAGGCGGATGAGGTGGACGGCCTGGGAAAGGAAACAGACGGCATGACGAAAATAAGGAACTTTTTACAACCTTGATGAAGGTGCTTTCGTTCGTTCTAAACCTCACAAAGGGAAAGATTTGCACTTCCTGTGAACTTGGAACTACCCAAAAAAGTTCAGAGAACAACTGGAATATCATCTTCATATTGTCTTCACTATTCATTATTCATGTTGCTGTCAGTTACTTTTCACTATTCTGAGATTAATTTTGCCTTCTTATCACTGATATTAATAGGAAGCTCAACATTTATGTGCAATATAGGTTATTGTTTCAGTTAATTTAATAATTGTATTTATTCTTCTTTATTTAAAAAATGTACAATCAATGGCATATTTATTTTTTATCATATGTAATACTGTAATTGTCTCTTAATCCTAATGGACAGTTGGAATTATCTCAGCCTTACATTGTAAGCAAATATAAACAATAGCTTCTCATGCTTTTTGTGTAATACTGCAATATACTCAAGTATGTGACGTACAAAGACGCAATAAGATTAATTATTATTTTGTATTTTTGCACATTTTTTCTCTTGTCAGTTTGTCATACTTTTCTAATCATATTTCTAAGCCTCAGCCCAAAGCTATTTTGTGGGTATGGACAGATATTTTTTCTCTAAGGCTGCAACACACTGTTCAACACAGGGTGGCGTTATTGTCCAGGTTGAGTTCCCTGTGTATCAGTGAAGTCCCATACTGCTCTGGGCCCACATTAACACAACGTGAGGAGCACACATCCAGTCAGAAACACATGCAACGATACTTACGAGCGTTTTCTCAGTCACTCACGTGTTGCTTTACATTTCCAGAGTCCATTTGGATAAAAAAAAAAAAAATCTCACAATAAATGAAACACTTTTATTTTTAGTCTTTAAATTCTAAACCATCTCTTTAGCTTCATGATAGTGAAAAATTATAACCTGAGCTGGACTCGATCGCCACAGATAAATGAAAGCGGAGGGTCAGATACGCTTTTCAACGAGGATTCAAGCTCTTGCTCGGTGACAATCCAGCAGGATGCGCACCAGCGTGCTGTGAAGTAATCCCTCCTGTTCAAAATAGATGTTTTACTACCGCCGTGTGATCCGGAACTATAAATATCAGCTACTACGCTGATCTTTCTCACCCTAATCCCCAGGAACTCCAAGGTGGCAACCGAACGTTTCCCCCTCTCCTCAGACATGATGGACACGGGGGGGGGTGGCGGGGGGGGGGGGGGGGGGGGGGGGGGGGGGGGGGGGGCATGGATGAGCTAACTAGAAATAACAAACCGGTGCTAATTTTGTTTTGACTACCAGCAAAATATTGTATGAGTCAAGCCGGAGAGCAGAGGACGTTGGGGGTGGGGGAGCTGGGATGTGTGTGTGTGTGTGTGTGTGTGTGTGGGGTGGGGGGGTGGGGGGTGGCCCAGTGTGAGCTCACCTGGGAGGAACGCTGACAAACCGCAGGGTCCAGAGTGCACGATGCTTGTTGGCTCTCAAATAAACTCAGCCTTTTTTTTTTTTTCTTCTCCCCCCCCCCCCTCTTCCTTTTATTCAGCCAAACTCAGAGCATTTTTTTTTTTTTTTTGATTTGTTTACTCCACGGGGCCACTTTAACTTTCATCTGTCAGTTGCGCTCTGTCAGAGGCACTCCATAAAATGACAAATTTAAGTGAGGAACTTGTGTCGGAGAGGAAATGAATCGCTGCCAGGTAGTTACCACACAGAATTCGGTTTTACTGTGGAGCAGCAGTGGGTAGACTCTAACTCTTTGACTGTGTATTTAGAGCAGGCAAAGGTGGCTGCTCTATTTAAATATCTATAAATAGACACATGGTGTTAATGTAGATTTGGACAGCATCCCAAAATGCTGATAACTTACCTTGGGAGCCAAAAGAAGGATATTGCACCTGTAGGTGGGACTTGTCATTAGGGATAAAATAAAATGACTTCATCCTTTGCATTCAAATGATGGATGCTCCCTCCTCTGTCCTCTACTGTATATCTCCTTGGGTTCGGTGGATTAATGCGATGTAAACCTGCCAAAGGGACTTTTATTGGGAGAAGATGCATGTGTCCCGGGCTGGAGTCCTAAGCAGTCTCTCCCACTCTGTCTTCTTTTGCTTTTGTCAAGCTACACATACTTTTGGCCGTGACTCACCACTGATAGAGCTGCCAGGGACCAGTCACAAGCCATTGGGATGAAACGTTTTGAGTAAAGCATTACCTCGCTCTCTCTAGGAGAAAACAAGCAGAGAGAGAACTCTGGCGTTGACAAGCTCTCTGTAATTTCCACTTCTGGCACTGAGAGTTTAATACCCAGTAATCTCTGTCTCTGATCTCACTGTAATGCACCTCCAGAAGGGCTGGAGAGCATGGTGAGAATCTGAGAAACTAATTGTAAATCAAAGATGATGATATGTGACACTGCAAGATGAATCTCCAGAGCACTACAGGCCAAGGACAGAAAAATCTTGCGCTAAACATTGAGTGCATTGTATCACACACACACACACACACACACACACACACACACACACACACACACACACACACACACACACACACACACACACACACACACACACACACACACACAAGAGGACAAATGTGCAAATACAAAGCCATGTAAACTCACACCGCCGTCACTGTCAGCAACTCACTTTTGTCTGATTGAATGGCGCTCAGCGTCTGCGTAAACAACCTTGACCACTAACCTCCCCATAACCAGCGTTAGACTTTTCACCAAATCTTATCTTTTTGTTTTCCATCACCACATCCTGTAACAGCCGGTCAGGAGGGGGGCAATCCTGGCGTACGCCATCCCCACAATTTGTACAGACACAATAAACCCAGAGAGGCAGGCTGTTTTTCATTAGGGCTTCAAAGTCCATATAAACCATGATTAATGAAGCCCTGAGATGCTGTATGTCTTTAATTATTATGACTTGACTGCTGCACCAGCGCCTCAGATGCATTAGCAATGTTGGCGATCTGTACACGTCTGCCTGGCTCATTCTGACATGGCAGCTTCGCCTCATTCTTGGAGAATTCCCCGAATGTGGAGGAGGGCGGGAGGGAAGTGATAGAAGCCCCCTTTCTGCAATGGCACAGAAGTTTCTTTAATCACTGTACATGCACACTTACAAATTAGTTTGGGCAGTGACAGATTGGAGAGCAGGCTGAGGATAATTACATGCAGTGGGCTGGTGTGTGTGATCAGAGCGTGGCATTGCGTTACCCAGAGGGTTCTGTAAATAAAGTCCTCATGCAATGAATGAGGATATTGTAAAGTGCATTATGCTGGGCACAATAGTCCTACCATTGTTACTATCTGGATTTCTGCTCCAGAGTAGCAGTTGGTGTAGTATGACAAGAACTGCAACAGGGAAGTCAGTCTCAGCTAGAGCAGAAAATACTGTAGATGAGGTCAGTTGTTACCAAATCTGACATAAAGGCACCAATTACCTGTGGTACAAGTCATGCACTATAGAGAATTAGCTATAGGTAGGACACATTTGTTATTCTCTAGGGATTTAAATGGACCATATTTTTTCCTTTATTAAGATATATATATCATGTATCAACACAATTTTTAGAGCCCAACCCACACAGGGGAGCTGATACTGTTGTACAATCATGGTCCTGTATTAGCGTCTGACTGCTTTGCCAATTCAATAAATACCTTTTGACAAAACATCACAAAGATTAGAAGTATATACAAATAGGCCGGATTTCAAACTTGGATTTGTTACAATAATTAGATAATAACAAGAAGAATCTGCAACCATGTTAAGCAGCTCTTTGAGGCTTACATGCTTACAGTGACAATGCTAACATACTGATGTACCAGGTGTAATGTTTTCCATGTTCACTATTTTAGTATTTTATTGTGTTAACATGCAAACATTTTTTAATAAGAGCTCAATACAAACCGCAGCTGAGACTGCTGGATTTATTTTGTTATGAGTCAATGAATTGCATAATTTAAAATTGTAACTTGGCGGTGTTAGGAGTCACCAACGTTATTACAATTCACCCTGAGGGGGGCATTTATATCTGTACCAAATTTCATGGCAATCTATGCAAGAGCTGAGATATTCAACTCAAAAGCGCAGATGTAAACCACAGATGATGGCGCTAGAGGAAAAGTGAAGGGATCACCGAAGTCCAGGTAAGATGAATGGTGTGGGAACCACGGTCGTCTTCAGCAAACTTCATTTCAAGAAGTGATTAACACATGCTTTACACACTGTGCAGCAAAGAGGCAACATGTATACACAGGTTTTTGTGATGTGAACTCCTTTCACCCTTAAACCAAGTTAACCAGGAACGTTCACACCTGCGAGCTGCCCTGAAACAACCACAGTCTTATACTGTTGTCCTCAGAGCGGCTCCGCCGGGGCAGGCAGTGTTTACAGTCAGCTGTTTGGGGAATTTAATGATACCTGTTGAGGAAGGAAAGCGTGTAGGTTAATGGCCTCCTGCTTCCATATTTTCCCAGCCAGTCCATCGGATACAGCTTGGAACTTACCGGTCTATTTCTGTAAATGCACGACTGTTTGACACGCTGTATATGATTATTTTAGTGGCCATGTCAATTTGCAAACAGCTCTATATTGCTAAAGTGATATAAAATAAATGCTACAAAAGGATGGCAAGTCACCAAGATGACATCTAAACATATCATTAGCCCTTCTCGAACTCAGATGAAGGTCGTCTGAAAAAGGACTTGAAAGAATTGCGGGAGTAATGACACAAAGTGTTCTCTCTAGAGAGAGAGGGACACAGAGACAAAGAACACAGAGGGAGCTCATTTGTATAATCCTCATTTAGTGCGGGCGGTTTATGTTTCACAGTCATGGACAATCAGTGAGCACTAACAAAATGGTGCTACCCATCCTAGCCCTCACACACAGTCTCTCTCTCACACAGATAGAAAACAGAAGCCATGTTTGTGTTGGGCACGCTCCCACAGCACACAGGATGATGGATTATAGAGTGTTCCTGTTTATTTATGCTGTGCTGGGTAGAGGAATATGGGCAAAGACCTCATGCATACAGCCTATGTATGGCAAATACAATCAGCCGTAAAATAAGATTGCATATTATGAATGAGCAATAGGTTCACACATATACACACACACACACACACACAAAAGTACTGGGCTGCAATCAAACACACACACACACACATACACACACCCGTCTTTTTGCAGGGGAAGCTTGTCTTGATTAACCTGGCCGGGGGAGCCCGACATGTTTTTCCTTTTACGTCATGGCCTGTTCCCTGAGTGGCTCAGTGGAAGCCATCAATTCTAGTTTGTCTGCAGTTTGTCTGTTTGAATTTTTTGCTAATCTGTATTATTCACTGATGTCCTGTTGGCCTTATGCAGGAAGTGCTGAGTGAAGACGGTTGTGGTATTTTTTTTTTTTTTGCTCAGACATCATACATCATGCTTTCTTTTTCTTTTACAAAAAACTGCATCACTCCTTTCCTTC